ATCTTATGGGGGACAGATGAGGTACTACAATAATGGCACTTGGTGGAAGCCCTGACAGCAAGAATCCCTTTGGCAATGGACATATCCTGGCTTACTTCTGTCCACATACAGGTGTATTGAATTTTACTCTGTGTCTCTGGGAAGGTTTGGGCCATTTACTTTACAATTGATCGTCTGATGAACAAACATTTATCAATAAATCGATCTATATTGGAGTAAATGACCTGAAAATTTGCAGAAATGCAAACTAAAATACAACACACAGGTATAGGACGACCACTTCTGGCATCACATAGTACAGTGCGACAGCCTCTGTCAATGGACAACATGGTAGTAGTACGGAAAATAGATGCAATATGGCAGACAACTGAGGTATAGAATGATGCTCACCCTCTGGTAGTCCATGGGATAGAAGGATAGTCTAGAGATTTTCTTACTGCAATGCCGATATCGTACTGTAAGAGGCTCTGCAATAGAATGACATGGATGACAGCTTTGAAGGAATGATAACATGCTTGGATATTAAAATGGTTCGTATTGGTTGTGTAGACAAGAATTATATTGTGATATGGGATAAGAAGCGTCAGAGTATGTAAATGTGACCTAAGCATGAATGGCGCCTTGTGGCAACTTTAAAGTATGGGACTCTTGAGGATCTTTTAGCAAACTGGATTGCAAATCTGACACCTGGAATCGATGGATGACATTTCCCTGTATGGGCACATTGTGGATGGAAATAGTAGCAGTGTCTGTTTTTAAAGCGCAGTGGCAATGGATACTTTAAATTATCCTTTACTTGGTTATGGTAAAGTTAGTGGTATCCTATACAGGAAGCAGTTGCTGATTGCAATATTTTTTGGGTTTCCACATACTTTTCTTATAAAGCAGGCAATTTTCCCTTTTTTTCCACTTCTGAGAGTGGTTTTTTGGGGTTTTTATAGGCTGCTTATATTTCACATTTCTCTTATTTCTATCTCAAAATAGCATATTAGCTATTTCTTCTCACAAGTGTGTGGTATGGGATGGCTAGAAGGGGAGTTGGGAGGCCATCATCTTTCAACCACAATTAGTGGAACATATTTCTGGCATCTTTGCATTTACATGCTAACACATCAATCACTTATAATAGTGATTTGCACCTTAAACCTTTTATAATTTTTATAGCTTGCTTGCCCAATGGAAATAACTCTTTTGTGTTGGAAATTTGGACACAGTACCTCATTATTGGTAATACTACATCACTTACAACAACCCACCACAGATCTAATGTAGTGTAAGAGAGCACGCTTGACATCTTATTATATAAGTTGTCTTGAGGACTGGGTGCAATTCCCAGATTAGATAATAAACGGGTTGATTGTTAATGATGTCAAATGGTGTCTGATGTCCAAATCTTCTGACACAATGTTAGAGTGCAAACAATAAATTACATGTTTAGTAAACTGCATTCATTACAATATGTTTGATTTCAAAATTGTGCAAAAATCCATCAATTAAGTTATAATCATTTAAAGCTTAAGTTAATTATACAGAAAACTTTGCACATTTGTTTCATCTAAGTTCATCTAAGTTTAGATATTCTGTAATGAATACACTTTACCAAGCGACCCAAAAGTCAAAATTGATTCTCTTACTAATAGTCCAAGTTACTTGTTTTAGTTTGCCTCCTCTCCGCATCGTCCTCAATAGACCTAATCGGCTGACGGCGTTGCTATGTTCGTTGCCACCCAATTCAAATCCTGTYGGAAAAAGAACTTTTGTTTCTAAGAATTCAACTGTGAAATGAAAATACAACGAACAATGAAACTTACTCCCGGGTGGTTTGAATTGGGTTGAAGTCAATTAGGTCTATTGCAATAACGTACTAGCTTACAAGAGGGCAGAGATGGCAGCCATGAAAGAGCCCCAAAGCTGACAGAACAAAACCACAGGCTTCCCAAGCTCTGGGGAAGAACGGGAGATGGGCTACCTGTGGCAACAATCTTTTCTTTATAAGTAAGAAAAGACTTTTCTGACTTTATTGAAAATCTAAATCGATTCACATAAATATGATTATAACTTTTTATTTGGTGAACAACGTTCCATTTCCTGTCACACGTAGCGTGATGATCGGCTCCCGCTGTATTAAATGAATCCAGAGGTAACTAAAGATATCATATTTTGGTCTTACACCCCAATAACAACATTACTTTTAAAAACATGTTTAACCATTTTATTAAAATATCAACATTATAATACATCTTTAATATAACATTTTAAATTACAAACAAGTCATCAAGTCTTAATAGTTAAGTTTTTGGAAATCTTTCTGCTATATTATTCATGTGCTTGACAACAGGTTTCCACAGTTTCCACTATCTTGACACTATCAGAGTTCTTTGGAATATTAATCCATTGAAGAGAATTGCAAGAACATTGTTATATAATAATATTTGAATTTTAGTTGCAGCTTGATGAAAAAAGTATTGTTTTCTCACATATAAATGTTCTAAGTATCAAGGGAAAGGATACATCTTGGCTACTATTCAAGATGAKCCTGGTAACTATAACATAACAAGATTCTTGCAATTRGATTAAATGGTTTCATTCAACAAAAACTCCTATTTRCTTGTGTAGGGCTACTCATCAACAGGRAAGTTACTCCAACTGATAGGCTTTTTCTTGTGTTTTTCCAAGTAATCATTTGCTTGACTAAAATGCTTACAACCAAAGAAACCTCTGTGTGCWGACAGAGGAGATGGATGSACTGCCTTGAGAACACAGTGTTTGTTCTAMTGAAAATAGATGGAAAAAAGGGAAGTYAATGAATYAAYGGATAAGRGAATGAAACAATCTTCAATACCAAGTGAGTGTACATCTATACCTTATCAATAAAGCTGCATTTCTTTTGTGCATAGGAACCCCACAGCATGAACACTACTCCTTTTAAATTACTATTAATCCAGCGAATGACGGCATCTGTGAACTTCTCCCATCCCTAAGAAAAAGAGAAGTGTCATACTAGCTGACAAACATCTACCTTTCTGGTTTATATGAGTCTTTTGATTTGCCCTTCCCCATATAAGATATTAGGAGAGTTTAACTACCTTATCTTTGTGTGAGTTTGCCTGYGAAGCAACCACTGTAAGGCATGCATTGAGAAGAAGAACTCCTGTGATCAAATGAAAAAATTTTAAATTATGGCCATGAAAAAACAAAACACAAACCTTGAAGACAACACTAACCCTGTTTAGCCCATCCAATAAGATACCCATGTCCTGGCGATTTGAAGCCTTCTATATCATTAGCAAGCTCTTTGTAAATATTCACCAGGCTGGGTAAAAACAACAAAGCATGTTTATGGTTAAAGGGGTACTTGGATGTATATATGGTCGTTTTTGAAAAACCTGTAATATTACGTCTTAGCCGRTGAAACTTTCTCAACATAAAGATAAATAAACAAGAAATCACTCTGTAAAGTTTCATTTCGATGTTTCAATGGGAAGTATGACATATAAATTACGATTTAGTTTTCGTCCGCCATTATTTTCTCTACTCACTAATATAACTATACTGTTACAAACAAACAAACCTTGGTGGTATGGCAACTCCTGGCTGAACACTGAAGCAAAGGCCTGCAGATAATAATAGGTCAAGTTGCATTATATTGTCCATTGCACAGTGTGTGTTGATGAATTAATGAATAAATGAATGAAAGAATGGGATGAATTTATAAATTAATGAGGGATGAAAAAATGACATACTTAGACAAATTTATGCATAGTGCTGTGCTGTACTGTATTCTATTCTATTGATTCATTCTTAAATGTATTATTAATCTATTGTTATCTAGTGCTGCGCTTGGTCTGTACTGTCAAGACCTTGGGCAGTGTTTTCCTATATGGACCTCCCAGAGGGTAAATAACATATACACATCATTTTATCAGAATATTGGACAAATGGATGGATTGAATAAATAAAAGTGAATAAATGAATGAATTCATGAATACATGATCACACACTTACCATGAGCTTGCCTTGGTCCATGGTATGGATCCTGACCAATAATAACAACTTTAACTTCTTTAATATCAAAGTGTAACGTCCATGAAAATACTTCTTTCTCTATTGAAACGCAAGCATCAAATCATCAGAAATAGGGGTTTTCTTGTATTCTTATCTTCCTTCTTATGTTCCTTCAATTTGTTATAAGAAACTATTTCCACTAATTAAATAATAATTTGTATTAAATCAATCATAAATACCTGGTGGATATACAGTCTTTCTTGATCTTTCATCGGCTACAAATTTACTCAACTGGGAAAAAAAAAGTATTTGACAATCAGATTATTAATCACAAAAACAATACTAACAAAATTCTGAAAACTCTCTGACATGGAATTGTTTATTTGAAAGCYAATTTTAATAACAATCTCAGGAAAAAAAGAGTAAAACAAAGTTGTTTTTATAGGGGTGGGGCTGCGGAGGCTCGTGCAAATTACCGTTGAGGAGGGGAGGGGTGGGGTAGTGTACATGGGTGGAGTGGGGTAGAAAAAGGGGTGCAACCAGGAAAGTTCAGATATGCTCCTGTAATAATTCACATGTAAACAGTATATAAGCTTATCAAGACAGCTTTCATAATTCCATTAGCTCTTGTCATGAAGCAAGAGTATGCACCTTTTGAAAGTACTCCTTGTCGAACTCGGCCGACAGAGCTGTCTTCCACGATAACCCAACATTCTGTGGCCCTTTTTTGGAYAGAAGTTTCAATTGCGCCTCTTTTCGCTTCTGCTCGATTCTTTCCCTTTGCTCAGGCGAAAGAGATGGTTTTCCATCGGACGAACTCGTTGTCGGTGGTGATGAATCTGGTTTAGATAWCTTTGAAGGTGGATTTTCGTCAACACCGGCCTCTTTTGCAGATCTCTTTGTGTTCGGAGTCGTAAAGAATGAGCTTATTTTGCTCTGCCCAAGCATTTTGATGAAATCTTATAGATGATCGATGCAAAAAGACGCGATAAAATGACAGCAAWARGTAAACATGGACACCTTGTGCTTTCCCGCCAATTTTTTAGGTAAACCAATCAGAAGTGAGAGACTGTTTATCATGTTTTGCATAGAGGGAAGGGGTCGAGCAATGATTATAATGAGAAAATAAAATACTCACAAATCCTTCTACTTAATGAAATTCTAATCAAAAGAAGAATAAAGTATYGATATACARTTTAYATGWGTTTGTGTTCGTYTTTCATTTGTCAATTKTTTCWTTTAGCACACTAAAATARAATATTTTAACRCACCCRACCCTAGCAGYAACATATGTRTWATYTTGRACGCGGTCAAATWRTTTYGGCCTAGGCACTAACTTGTGAGCTCCGCCATATTGAYAAGTCCTCGTCGGACACGAAGAAAAATGTTTCGTGTTGGTGGAAGTAGGCAAATTTCTCGTCTCAAACAAACCTCGAAACCTCTATCAAGTCCTAAGGTAATGATTTTGTCCCTGTCTTTAGAAATAAGCCCTTCAAAATATTATTCAAATTTGCTTGAAAGTGGCCGACCATCCAACCATGACCGGTCGTCTGGATGTGTACACGTTGTTGTTGACGTTGCTACCTTTCTTGAGTTCACTGAAACTATACATAGAGCTAGCCATGCAAAATCACAAGTCAATGCCATTACATCTTGTGTGATTTATTCCTCAGACGCCTTTGCAAAGTTGTACAAATAATACACAGAGCTCTCGTCATGGTACAACTTCAAGGTATTTTTCCTCTACGCCAGCGAAGAAGTAAGTTCATAAAGTTTAAAGGAGGCTATTTACATAAGACAGGGTGCAGCTATGCTGTAGCTGCACAAGGTTTGCCTTGTCTATAAACTCAGAGGAAATAAAAATATCGATATATATCTCAATCGAACATGTCACATAGAAATCCAGTCATTATGTGCAACTGCATATAGGTTGTTCCTGTATCCTATACTGAGTTTATTGCTGCATTGAAACACAAGTGCACTTTTACAGTTCATCAGGTTTGAAGATAGCTGGAAGTATTGCCTTGCTGACAGGAGGTGGTCTCGTAGGAGGAGCACTGCTRTACAATTARAARGAGGACTTCCGCAAGTTTGTCAATCAYAGTTTGCCAATTATTGAAACTTTCAYCTTGGCTTTGGGACCAGCCASAAGTGATGATAACAATAAGCAGAGTGATGAGGAAAAAAGTCTTCTGAAACCAAAAAAAGTTGATCTCAAGCCAATCGTAGAATCTAAAAAATCTGATGAAGAGAAAGTTATAGAGAAGAAGGTAGTATAGCTGGTGATGGTATTGATGATATTGATTATGATTCTAATGATGATGATGATACTTTCAGAAAAATGTAGCATCTGTGTCATCACTAGACCAAGCTGCTGTCTCATCAGTTGACTTAGACATTGCAACCAAAGTAGAAGATGAAGTAAAGATGACTAAAAAWGAAGCCCCASCYCTACCRCCTAAGGGTCCACCAAAACCCCCAGGGGGAGGGGGAGCAGCTAAAGAGTCTGTAGCCAGTTTTGTTTCTGTTGTGGATCAGCCAGGGGTTTCTGCRGTTGATCAAGATATWGCTAGAGCTGGTGAAACTAAAGTACAAAAACCTGTGATTGAAGAGGTTGATGTGTCAACTCTGACAAGTGGTATGTATACAAGTCAAGTAYCTAAAAAAATAAAAAAAATKYKAATAAAAAAAGTCAWGTAACTATGTGTGTGGAAAACAAGAAGACTTGGYCCAGGTTGCTRAAAGCTTYCTAAGCGCTAATCCTGGTTTAACTCTTCAAAAAGCTATAGAGTTAKCCCTSGAGTTAGTTTGGAGAGAACCAYCTTATAAAGAGAGCCAGCTTAAATAACTAAAATCTTATTTAGCCCCATACTGGGAATCAAACTAAAATAGTGATAGATCTGTGTTTTTATGACTCTATCATCCCTACTCACCATATTTTGCCATTTACGTTCATTCTTGTACTTATTCAGAGCCTATGAATCCCCATGCAAAAGAGGAAGTCATTCAGTCTATTCCTGTTGATACAAGCTTAACTGAAAAAGAAATAGAGCARATGGTMGATCAAACAGCCATGGAAGTTCTAGTACAGGAAGCTTTGACTATCTTGAAGCAAACCTGTGAAGAGGCTGTAAATGCRCAGAAAAAGGCAACYAAGCTACTATTAGAGCATGTCAATCAGTTAAGAAGTGCACTAGAGAAGGAGGAACATGGTTCCATGAAGGATTTAAGCAAAACTATTCTGAAATCACAAAAGGTATTATGTGTAAGGAACTATGTATTTGTAAAAGGAAAATAAGCCAATCTGTTATCATGTATGCAGTCCTRGTTTATCTGACGACAATGAAAATGTAGCAATGAAACAATTAATTTAGGGATTAGGAATGATTAAGAGACAAAAGGAGTGTGTTTTCTTTGTTTTCTTTCTCCTTGTAATTTTAGTTTATGCTTTACCTTATGCTTATTACTATGCTTATGTTGAAGTCTTATGATGTGCATTTGATTTAAATTCTTTTTTATTTTCTTTTGTTCTGTACATATTGACTGATATGTAATAATGCCATCTTGCAAACCTGCCTATGGTATAAACTGTAATCACCCAAACTATTTAAAATTCCAGTTACAAACAACCGTTTATAATTTTTCCTTTACCTTATTTTGGTATAAATTTATAGGAAGCAGAAGATGCCATCACTGCGGCCAAAGCGTCACAGATCAAAGTTAATCAAGAAGTAGAAAAAGTCCACAGTGTTGTCAAAGAAGCTGAAAAGTCTGGAGCCCATGAAGCTGGGGTTAAAGCCTCCAAGGAAGCAGCTAGAGTTAGTTATGAAGTAATGAATGCTGTAGCWGAGCTGCAGAAGGCCAAGGCTGAYGARATCATTCTTGGGGAACATAAGAAGTTCCTTGATGAAAGTAAAACTGTATTGAAGAAAGAGTTGGAGGAGATTTTGCCAAACGCTGTTAAAGAAACTAAGGGCAAGAAAGGAGCAAAAAGCGAAGATGGAAAGTAGGTTTAATATTGTGGTGTGTTTGGTAAATACTATAGTAACATCTATTTTGATGCAAAAATGTTTCCTACTGAATGGATAAATAAACGGATGGATGGATGAACGAAAGAATGATTGAACAAATGAATGAATAAATGAACAACTAAAAACAACCTTATCTAAAGCCCTGGTCCTTCTATTTGCATTACGTTACTACTATAAAGTATTTAGTATAGTATATATAACTTGAGATGCGGCCGTTTTCTAGACGGCAACTGTAACCCGAAGTCTAATATAGTTTCGGTCTTCGTTTCCCTCCAAGAGTGTGTCGGTCGCGACTCGGCGTAGACGAGAATTTACACTGTTCGTGGGAGATTGAAGTGATGAAACATAACTCACACGGTTTCTTATTCTTCTATATTTGAGGTCTGAAGCTGTTTTACTAGCTTATGCCCGCAAGAGACTTGAACTCTTGAAGCAGCAGTTAGCAACCCAACGAGAAGAAGAGCAAAAGAGACTCGAACAAATCCTGAGTATTCAACGCCAAGAAGATGAAAAACTAGCTGACATGAAAGTCAAACAAGAACTGGACAAAGTTAAAGCAGAGTTTGAAATTACACTAAAGAAAAAGGTATGAAAGCCTGCCTTGCTGGTATTTTTTAATGTTTTTCGTCGTTTTCTCAAACATTTTTGCTTGCTTTTTTCACCAAAAAGGATCCTTTTCACAAATGTCGTTTGTTTGTTTTGTCGAAATGCATCACGGTATTGAATAAGAATTCAACATGGCGGATGTCATGTAAAAGACGGCGTTTCTTTGCAAAATTTGCGTTATAACATTAAATGAGATGCCTGCACACTCTAGTATGCTCAAAGACCAGTCTAAGAAATACGTAATGGAGTAATGCTTGCTGTTCGTAAAACAGCCAGAAACAAACATAATATCTTTATTTTGTCGGCAATCCCATGGTGCATCTCGCCGACGTCAGTATGGATGGAAAGAATCCATATTGTTTATAGTACATTTTTTCTTACTATCATTTCCTGACAATATGTTGTTGTTTAGGAATCTGAATTAGCGTCTGAGCATGAGACTGCCTTGAGACAACAACTACGTCGACAGGCCGCTGCATACAGTGATCATCTTACAGAAGTACTGGGTGTACAGGCCAATGAATTACAGCAAAGGTATAATATTTTTATTAGAGTGGTTTTCATTAACCCGCGAAACACACTTTAGCGTATTTATCGCTATTACACTTTGGCTCTTTTCTTTTTTATTGTCTCTACGCGACTATTACGATCTATTACTCTCTAATTATTACACTTTGTTTCACGGGTTTATGAAAACCACTCTATTGACATAGCTATTTTTAGTCTACGCTTATATTGCTTGTGTTTCTCTGCGTTTTCGTTGCGTTGTTTGTATTTGCTCTAAATTCACTTCAGGACGGAGAGCAGTTCGAAGGCGCTACGTATATAAACGCGTTAGTGTAAACACGTTTTTCTTAACGTTTTTGTATTTTAAATTCACCTGTCGATAGCAAGGTTCAATTACGCTACAAACACGCATTAGTGTTAACGTTGAAAGGCATTGTGCTTGCTATTATTATATTTTGTATTCTTTAGTCCCTCGAAGACATAAAACGTTACGAAAACGCACCAGTTTGAACGGTGCATAACGTAACTTTTGCGTATGCAAATTGACATAAATCATCATCGTGTCCTTGTTATTTACTTAAAACCTAAATCTGTCTACAGATACGACAAAGAATTCAATGAAAAACTAATCAAAGAAAAGGAAACGTACGCCGGCAYACTCAAAAGTTCTCTGGCACGTCTGCGAGGCATCGAATCAGCCGTGGACAGCCGCGCAAGCAACGAAAAATCAAACAAAAAATCCCAAGAGATATGGCTAGCCTGTCAAGCCCTTCAAACAGCAATTGAGAGTGGAATCAAGGTTTTAAAGCCTCTTTACAACGAGGTCAGTGCCATAGCTAGTGTTGCTGAAGGCGATCCCGTCATGAATGACGTCATAGGTGCTATTCCTCAAGAGGCCTTAGATAGGGGTATATACAGTGAGAAAAACCTCGCTGCTCGCTTCGCCGATGTCAAAAAAAGCTGTCGACGAGTGGCCATGATTGGCGATGACAACAAAGGCCCCTGGACTTATTTCTTGTCYTACATACAATCTTTCTTCGTGTTTGACAAGTTTGATCCTCGAGTTGATGGTGAAACTGTGGACTTAGAATCAATAGACACTTTTGGACTCTTGGCGCGCGCCGAGTACTATGTGCGGAAAGGGGACTTGGAACTAGCCGCCCGGTTTGTTAACCAATTGAAGGGCGAGCCGCGAAAGCTTGCATATGATTGGTTGAAAGAAGTTAGATTGTTATTGGAAACMAAGCAAGCTGCGAGATTTCTTTCGTCGTATGCAACAGCGGCAGGAATGCAGGGATAATGCAAGTTCCTGTGTTCTGTTATTATACCGACTTCTATTCTGTCGGTTTTTGAGATATGATCACAACAAAGGCACAATATGCGAATTTTCCGATATTTCTCCAAAGCGTTCCAGATATTTTRCCGATGTTTTTCCGAAATTCAGGCTGTGGATAGACGTTTTAGATCTTTTCTCGTCTTAGTAATACATTTCCGGATATTTATTGAAGTGAAAGGCTTGCAACGTATACAACAGCCTGTCTAGCCTCTGTAGTTGTCTCTCSCTCGCTCGCAATGCATCATTGCTTGTCGTTCTCCTTCCCTTGATGCTTTTCGCACGCGAGAGAGAGGCAACTGGGGATGAGTTTATTGTCTCTGGAGATTCATCCTCATTTCATCTTTCCCGGAAATAAAAAATAGCTTTTTAAGCCCAGACAGATGAAGTAGAGTCTTGTTTCGAGGATATTTGATTTTGGTAGAGAGTGGCCTATATGATAAGAATGGGTAAAATTAAGATTGTTTAAATTTTGTGTGAGCAATAATGGTGTATTTACGGGACGTCTAATAGCCTCTTTTATTGGCTATTTAGGATTTAAAAGTTTGTGCTTCACATAAAACTTGCTTGATTATTCTATTGATTTGGATTGAACGATTTTTGTAATGAAAATCAAGGATAATTGAAATTTTCAGAAAAGTCTTGATCTTTTTATGTTGCCTTGCGACTTTGTTTAAAAAATATAAAAAAAAAATGGAATAAATTGATATAAAAATTATTGAAAGTGCCTTTGTCCTTTTTATTGTCAGCATTAAGATTGGTACACACGAGGAAGCTTGTTCACGCAACAGATTTTCCACTACAGATTGCTGCCTTGTATTTAACCAATTTGATACGAGGGAGCAAAAGTCCCCCCCCCCCCCTTAAAATTGTTGCAGATGAGACGGCTTAGGTCCTGAAAAATTTTGACATTTGTGAAAATGTTGACCGGTAGCATTGTTTTGTCTGGTGCTGATTTCTACCTAAAGTCAATAGACGCTTTTAATATATGACTCAATACCAAGGTTGGGTAGCAGTCTACTATTAAAGACTTCACATCCACAGAGAAAATGCCGACGAGTCTCTAAACAAGGCGCAACTCAAGCCGGGGTGGGTTCGTCCACATTAATAAATGCCCTTGAGTTGATACTGAAGACCYAGCTTTAATTAATAAAACATATATGAGCGAATCATTAACGCCACGATTCCTGGGAAAATCAATGTCAATGAYCCAATCAGGAACGAGTGTTTTATGTAGAACTTTTCTCGGTCGTTTCCAAGGTACCATCACACGGATATTGGTCCAATTACACTATAAACCCCTGCAGAGCCATTAGATCKGAGGTAATGATGAATCAGGTCGATATCACAAACAAATGCTTGCTGTCTCGGTTAGAGTTGAGCACCTAATGTGAATTTGAACYTTAATTAGCTAGTAAAGGTAAATGTTTATCTTAGATTTTGAATCTACGCGGTAGTGTTACCCGCCTTCAGGCAAGTGTGTGGTAAAAATATTAGTTTATTGTGATTGTAAAGAAAATRTATTTGAATGAAACAAAAGGTTGAGAATATATTGCTACATTAAGACAAAGGTGGCAGACCTTACTTCTTGGCGCCAYTAGTGCGCTTTGCTAATTCATTCTCTTTTTCTTTCAGTTTTTCTTTCGTTTGGTGTAGATTTGTCTTGAGTTTCGAGGTGGTGCTTGCACTTGAGTATAAATTACTCTTAAAAGATCTCTAACAGCAGTCTCCAACGTTGCCAATACTTGATAGGGTAGAAGTCACTGATTTAAAGGTAAATTCGTATTTATTACGTTAGTTTTTATATGATTTTGATTAATTCTTGCGAAAAACAGTTGTTAGCCCTCGTCCCTACCTCATTGCATTTTATTAGCTTTTATGCTCTCAAGCTCGTTACAAAAATTAAATGAATACTTAAATGAATATTTTAAAAATGAATATTCTCTCATTTTCCTTTTCACATTACTATTTGATTTTCTTTCACGAGTTCCATAATGTCCGTGGGAATAAAAACCAAATGACTTTAGGTTTGACATTAGCATACAAAAGGCGATSAGTTTGTTGCCTTGGAAACAAGAGATCACATAATGTGCACCAGCCTCCTTAACAACATTAAAGATTCAAATCGTAGACATTTTGATCATAAATCTCTAGAAATCGTCAAGATTAGCAAAAAAAAAACTTCAGGGACTAGATACATAAGGCTAATGCTAGTAACCTTAGTAGCAATTCCATGATTTTCTTTCTTTTCTTTTCTACGAAACTATCACAGAACGACCTTGACTGTTATTTCACGGGTATAGTGCCTTCACTCCCGATTAGTCCGTTGCTTGGTGAACATTAATGCTTATAATACTACACACGTACGTAGATATCGAGAACACGCGATTGGATATCTGTATATGATATCTTCAGCCCGGTCCGTTATGAGTAGTGAATAACATTAAAGAATTTATTTATATATAAGTTTTTTTCCACATACTYAGATGAGCTAACTAAACGTTTCTTCAGAAGGATAAGACAAAATCCATTAGATTTTTTAAAATTTKCGCGAAAAATCAAAAATCGCCGCAAGAATCTCCAGTGTGAACCAAGCTTTACTAAGCAGGTAGGCTACAATTTTGCTCAATATTTATTTATTTTCTTTTTTGTCGGTGTTTTTTACKGCCGAAGGCATTTTGTTAGCWTCTGGCTAGATAKTAAAATCCTTATTAGTTGTTTTCTTTTGATCTTTKCTTTTATCATGATACACACTCTTAAAGTCACGTGCTTGAGTTCCTCTTAGCTATCAAAACGAGCTCAAGAGCCTCGAGAACATAAATCGTAGGAATATATGTATCCATGTAGTGTTACAAGACTTATAATGGAAATCATCTTGAAGCTTTAAGAGTTTTCGATAAAGAGATGAATTTTGAAAAAAGACCTTTTTTCATACCTCTACATTGATTGTGGAATATTCTTTTTCTAGATCCCTTTCAATTTCCTATTTTTATCTCTTTCATTTTCTTTTTCAATATTTTTCTGCATTGCCTGCATATTTGAGTGATCATGCGTCTGCATATCTGTTTTTTTTTCATTATCATCTAATTTGTCCCATTTATATTCTATTTTTTTCATTTCTTTCTCTTTTGTCGGACCGACTTCATTGTATCGCTGTCCTGAGTGTTTGCCTTCAATTTCGCGAATTTTTCACCGATACATCTCTTAAACACACTTGACTTATTCGGCGGCTTTTAAAATTATAACACAGTCAGACGTCCTCGTTTCATTATAAGTATAGCATAAAAAAACTCATGGGTTTAAAGATGCTATGAAACTTATCTATGTATTTTTGCTACCGACTTCCGGAAACCCGCCTCCAAGTTCAATAGCCCACTTTCGTTATTCGGTTGAATTCACTAAACACGCTCACAAGGCTTGAAGAAGAGGCTCCAGGGTTGAAAAAACAAAAAACAAAAAAAAAGATATTCCACTTCTTATTCTTTAGCTTCTTCCTCATTCAGCCGTCAGAATATCGAAGGTGGGTCTTAAATCAGTATTACATAACACTTTGAGCAAAGAAAACAATATRCAACGTGAAACTGAGCTAATAAATCACTCCACTCTAGCAAGGCAATACTATTCACTTAGCAACTGACTTTAAAGTGCTCATAAGATTCTCAAGATCTGAAGTATACAAGATGGCGTCACTGATGGCTTAATGTTTTCAGCACAATCAATAGCCATTCATTGCCCACTCGCGATAGCTTTTCTGAGAGTATTATGGTCATAATTGCTGTACATTTTTGATAATTACCTCCATTACGTCATTTCAGGTGATGCGAGGCAACTGAGTAGAATCTGTTTTAACCGCCAAAGGACGCACCTTCCCTGAAAGCGATTTATCTTTGACTGTCGATTCAGATATGAAGATTAGATGGTTTATCACGAATTTTATCATCCTTGCTAATGTTACTTCYTTAATGGGTAAGTTTTAAGATTTTTTTTTGATTTTTTTTCCAGATATTCTGATAATTTTATGTGCAGCTGCAGTAAACTCKATGCGTTTCTAATGAAAATATTTTTAGAATCCAACCACTAAGGCCGCTATGGAAGTGTATTGTAGCTAAAACTAAAGGGAAACAAACGTTAATGGAAAAGGTTTTTTCGTTTATATGGTATAGTAAAGCTAGTGGAATATTTTACAATTTGCGCATTGAATCGCATGAAGTAAGGAACATTGTGCAATTGAAGCGGAAAAGGCAATGAAAAAAAACAAACAACACCTTAAAGTTAGATTTTTACTTATACTTTTTCATATTTTTTACGTTTTGCYCTCTTTTTGGTTTTTGTAATATTCAACAACAAAAATAGCAAACAAAAACAAACAAAACAAAACAAAACAAAAAACAACCAAACAAAAATAAAAAATAAAAAAGACGTTCTTTGACTAATAATTTAGTTACCGTAAACTGACTCAGAGAAAACTTACACTAGATATRGCTTTAATTTACAAAACAAACTCCTTTCGTTTGCGATGCCCTTGTCAGCTTTTTGTACTATGCGCTTGTCTGGATTCAGTTCATTATATACTCCAAAGTTTAATCAGCATCGTATATTTGATCAATCTCTTTTATCATTAATGCTGTTACCATCCAAAACTGCATTTACTTTCATTTTCTTTAATAAAATTCTATCCTTGCCAATTTCAGAAAGGTTTTTCTTCACATCGTTTTAACTTTTTCATTACAAGTTATTGGTAAAGTTCACTTGTCGTCTTGAGTAAGATTCCGGCCGGTGTCAGGTGTGTTTGCCCTGACCATAGACATTGGTGGTGGTATCGCTCAAAATTATGTTTACTCAACTAAGTTTCACTTAATTACGGTAGCTTGTTAGTCACAGGAAATGAATTCGGATTTTTTCCGTGTGATTTCACACAAAATCGACTAAAAAACACTTTGAAAAGTGTCCTTTTTTGGTTTGCAGTATTTTGCAATTTTTAAACTTGAGAACACAGGGCCGCAACTTTCTAGTTCTTTTCTTTAATCAACGCATCATAGCCGGGGATTTAACACTGTTTTAACAGCACAAAAAAACTCGGGAAGGCGAGAAAATTAACGTCTTAATCAAATCAAATGATCAGACGATCAGTTTAGCCACCCATTTTGGCCTCCACGGGCCGGGAAATGTCCTGACTCGAACATTGTTSAAATGTTAATTTCCCCGGTATTGCCCGGGGTTTGGGTGCTGCGGTTTTAATTGACTGATTTATTAGTGTAAACGACTTATTCCATTTATTGTCATTATWTCCCCTAGGGAACGCTTGGCAACAATGGGGATCTTGGGGATCCTGTACAAAGTCATGTGGTGGCGGTACTCAAAAAAGATGTCGCTGGCAGTGGTCCTCATCGAGAAGATCTAGAKGATCATGTTCATCAAGCAGTAATAGCTGGCGCACACAGACAAGAATGTGCAACACGCAACCTTGCAWTTCTTCAGTAWCTTRAGTAATTCKACCTTCMCCAATTCTTTCGTCTGTTACAAMCTCAGTTAGCACTGTACTTGGAAAATCSACGCAACAACTGAGTAGTTTATCGAATTCAATGGCTTCATCGGTAATGACTTCGCCGAAGGTTTTAATTGTAAAGTCGTCTACTGTAGTTACGTTGTCATCGTTATCAACATTACTATCTCCAATGTTGTCATCGTCATCATCATCATCTTTGTTATCGTCATCAGTATTATCATCATCATCAGCACTGTTATCATCATCAATGCCCTTAACATCATCATCATCATCACCATTATCATCATCATCGTTATCATCATCACCATTATCATCATCATCGTTATCAATATCATCATCAATGCCCTTAACATCATCATTATCGTCATCATTATCACCATCATCATCACCGTCACTATCATCGTCATCAATATCATCATCAATGCCCTTAACATCATCATCATTATCACCATTATCATCATCATCATCATTATCAATATCATCATCAATGCCCTT